AATTCGGCCCTGCACACGGAGGATGATTCTACAGATCTCCATGTGCAGAGTTTCTATGGGGTGTTTGTCCCATTGAGTGTAATCCTGGTCTGTGAGGGGGGCCCACACTTCACTGCCGTATAGGGCAATGGGTTGGATTACACTTTCAAATATTTGGAGCCAGATTCTTGTTGGTGGGTTGATGTTGAAGAGCCTCCTTTTTATTGTGTAGAAGGCCCTGAGTGCCTTCTCCCTCAGTGCCTTCACTGCCAGGTCAAAACTCCCAGAAGAGCTGATGGTGAGACCGAGATATGTGTAGCTGGATGTGTGCTCCAATGTGTTGTTGTTCAGTGTGAATTTGTACCTGTTTCCCTGCGGTCTGGCTTTCTTCTGGAAAACCATAACTCTTGTCTTGTCCAGATTGACTGTCAGCACCCAGGTCTGACAGTACTGCTCCAGTTGTGCCAGGGTCTGCTGCAGACCCTGTTCTGTGGGCGACAGCAGGACCAGGTCATCTGCATAGAGCAGGAACTTGATTTCTGTGTCGTGTAGTGTGAGACCAGGAGCTGCAGACTGTTCCAGCATTCCTGATAATTCGTTGATATAGATATTGAACAGTGTTGGGCTCAGGCTGCAGCCCTGTCTTCGCCTTGGGTGAAGAATTTGGTCCTTTTGTTTCCAATTTTCACTGCACATTTGCTCTCTGAATACATTGATTTAATGATGTTGTACACTTTGCCCCCTATGCCACTTTGGAGTAGTTTGTAAAACAATCTCTCATGCCAAATCGAGTCAAATGCTTTTTTGAAATCGACAAAGCAGTGCAAAATGTTTCCTTTGTGTTTTTGGTGGACTTGTTTGTCTATCAGTGTGTGTAGGGTGTAAATGTGATCAGATGTGCGGTGACATGGTAAGAAGCCAATCTGACTTTTACTCAGGACATTGTGTTCGGTAAGGAAGGCCAGTATTCGTGTATTTAGGATACTGCAGAATACCTTCCCCAGGTTACTGTTCACACAGATGCCCCGGTAGTTGTTGGGATCGAGTCTATCTGCACTTATAGATGGGCGTGATCAGTCCTTGGTTCCAGGCCTTGGGGAAACATCCATGAGATTGAGGAGTTTGAGCAGGGCTTGTTGCAACTTCGGGCTGCTGTGTCTCAGCATCTCGTTCTTGACTCCATCTTGGAAACAGGCTTTGTGTGGTCTGAGGGCCTGGAGTTTTTCCAGTAGCTCCTGCTCAGTGATTGGGGAGTCTAAGGGGTTTTGGTTGTCTTTGATAGCCAATTCCAAAATTTCAAGATTTTCATAAATGGTGTTTTGGTCTGATTGGTTTGTATTTGGGAGCTTTTGATAGGGATTTTCAAAGTATGTTTGCCAGATTGTTCCATTTTGGATGGCCAATTCTTCTGGTTTTGATTTGTTTAAATTGTTCCACTTCTCCCAAAAACAGTTCTGATTTAGTGACTCCTCAATTTCTGCAAGTTGTTTGTTTATGTATGTGTTTCTTTTCTTTTTCAGTGTGTGTTTGTAATATCACTGTCTCACACATTCCAAATTGATATTGATATCAATATTGATATTACATTCACACGTTCCAGCATGTGTTTGTAATATCAATATCTCACACATTCCAAACAGAGTGAAACATTGGTGGTTAAGTGGCAGGAGTTTTCCTGCCACATGGGTTTGATACCCGGACAGTGCACCAGCTTTATTTAACAAAATGCTCTTGGGGATAATAAAGACTAATAATAAAATAAATATAATAAATGTGTACTATGTTGACTTTTGTTAATTTTATGTTGTAAATATCACAGTATGGTAAATATTAAATTATTATAATATTATTAATAAATGTAATAATAACCAAATTACAAATAAATGGAATCAACATTTGGATCAAAATCACAATTGGTTTGAATCATTGAATGCAATTTGCTAGAACTTCATTTACTTCAAAAACACATGTTTAAAAAGCTCTTTATGTTCTTACAGTGAAAAGCTAGGCTCAAAAACTTTTTTGCAAGGATGAACCTCTGTAGCAAATGTGGTTCTTGTGACATACAGTATCTTATTTAGAGTTGTTTGTAATCATTGTATTTAATGAAAGTGTCGCTTGTGCAGTATAGTCCATGTAGAATGATTGACATGAGAAAGTACTAATGGGTTAATAAAACTTTAATAGTATACTGATTTGTCTGAAAATTTGTGGCTACAGTACTTTAAGTACTCATTGTGCCACCAGGCAGTTTTACAGAGTAGTACAGTCCAGCCCCAGATTATTAGAAAAGAAACACCATGATGCCATGAGATGGCGCTGTCGGTCATACGCGGCACCTACTGGAGTATACTGACATCTTGAGTATTCTAGATAGCTGCTACTATCTGTAGTTCAGAAGCTTGTTGGGTATAGTTCTTCTTTTGATTGCATTTCTTAATTGTTTAAACATTTATTTTTGTTTAGACAGTATTTAAATATTTTTCATGTTGCAAGAAGCTCATCTGCTTTCAGGAAATTGTTGTCCATATATTTCCTTTGGTTTTTATCAAGTGTACCAAATTTAATAACTTAAATTATAGAATGTCTTTTAATGCCATGATGACAATTCCAGTAGAATTTTTCAAGTTCACTTCTAATGTGTTTAAACGTTTCACATTGCTATATATCACTGAGGAGTGATTCACATTAAACTGTATGTATTAAAATAACCTATGTCAGTTCACTGATGCTTTATTGTCCTTGTAAAAAAAGGGGCAACTCATAGTGATCTTTAACATCTGTAGATTTGTCAGTAGATATAGAATCATTGTCAGCTGTATGGTCCAGTTCTTTATTTTTTGTGCAAATCAGCCATCTGTGTTAAGAAATCCCTTCTTGCGTGACTGGCTGATTATTATGTTTGTAGAGGAATGCAAGTCTTGGGATGGATGACTTTCCAGGTAAATATTAGTCCAGATCTTAGGTGGACTTGGCATTTTAACCTTTTATTTCCCTTTCTTTTTTTACGGAACACTCTCTTACCCGTGTCAGTCTTAGCCTTTTGTTTGGTTTTGTGATTTTAAATTTTAAATGTTGGTCTATTACTACTTTTTGAGTGTGGTCTGATAAATTGCACAATTTGCAAAATAAGTAACATGTGTTGGTATACAGTACACCAGGTGGACTTTAATTTTCTTTATGCTTTTCTTTAGTCATTAATAAATGTCTGTATTAATTTGTACCATTCACCTCTTCATATTTAGTTTATAATTGTGTAATTAATCACAGTTTCTATGTTGATCACCTGATGATTGCTGAGATTACAGTGGTGGTGGTGCCGTTGAGTCGGTATGGACTCATGGTGACCCTATGGACAGTTCCACGGCAACATACGGAAGTAGATTGCCAAGCCTTTTCTTCTGCGTAGATGTGCAAGTGTTGTTGATGTTATATTTGACCCTCCGTTATTGGAGAACCTTGCACCTGATGTGGGACACGGAGGTTATGAGTCTTGTGATCTACCAACTGAGCTAGTCGGGGACTTACAGGGAAATCCTGAAGAGTACCTACAGGGAAACCCGGAGAAAAATGAATGAACTACATTCATGTGGTTAGCAACAGCCCCAGGTCCAACCCATTGAATTCTACAGTCTGGCAGGTTATCTGTTTAATGCCTTAGATGCTGAAGTTTTGGGAATAAGAACCACAGTAACAATCAGTTAGGTTTTGAGATCTAGTGCTGGACATGTTGGACATTAGTGTTGGTCTGAAGCTACAGGGGTTTCTTGCCTTGAAAAGCACATGAGAAAATGAAGCAAATTATTTGTAACTGTAGGTTATTAAAATTTAGCACATAGAGTTACTAAGGAGGATTCTGCTTTAAATAATTTTTTCTTATTTATCACAGTACATACTTTTCACCTATCTTATCAATCATGGGAAGCTTCGAGTGTACTTAGTTGACCTTTTATACTGGTGTATGATTGGATGCTTTTAAATAAATAATGATTTTAGTACCTATTTCAGGTGTGTATACAATACCACAAAGTGCTGCTTATAATAATCATAATGAATACCAATTTCCAAAGTGCTGTATGGCATTTTAATAGACTTGTATAAAATAGAGGATTTTAATTCAAAATTAAGTAATGTAGTGCGTAACAACAATAAGGGGGTATTCAACAAAAGTGAAACATTTCTTAAGCAATTGAACCACTTCAGTGGAATATAATAAAGGTTAATAAAGGTTGTGGTTCAGCTGAATAACTCACCAACAGAACCAACAGGATTACAATAAATAAAAAAACAAATAGGCTCTGTGGAAAACAGCTTTAGAATAAAACATCAATCAAGTCACAAAGGCAGACAAAAAAATCAAGAGAAATACGAGGACCTGCTCTGAGCATTGAATATCGTGGCCCAGCCTTATTTCTCGTCTTGTGCTGTGGGAATACATGTATCTGTTGTGTTCCCCATGTAGTGTCACAGAAGGAAACTCTTGACACGTTATATAAATATTTGGAGCATTTTGCTCATCCCTTGTGTACTTCATTTGAGTTTAATGTTGAACATGGGGAAGTGAACTTCTATATCAGTAACAACAACTGGAGTCCAAAGTGTGCTGTGCAAAATGTTCTCTAATATGTAGTATAAATATTTTCATGGTTTCCTGCCTCTGGCCATTGTGTTTCATATGGTTCACGTCAAACACCTAATAAGTGGGTGCTTCTCACTTGTTTATATTAGGTTACCAGATTTCCATAATGGAAAAACAGATCATTGGACTTGCTAAGGTGAATTTACTGAAAATCAGTCTTTTCACTGTGACTATGATGGTTGGGGAGGTTGTGTCTGGTTGTATGTCCATCTTTGTTGATGGTACATCTTTTTGGCATACCCTGGCATCATTATATTGCTTTTTAAAATCACATGATATGACAGTAGTTTAAGTCACATAGAATTTATGACTCTTGGTGTGAACACAAAAGAACTAATCACACCCTTGTGCCAAAATAAAGGAAAAATGCGTTGTTTTTCAGACTAAGTGTGCTGCCACCCTATGATGCTTCACCGGTCATTATATCTTCAGAAACCATGATGGCAACTCATTCAGTGTCCATAGACAACTTCCAGGAGGGGCAACAGGCAAGTTATTCTATAATCTAATTGATTTTGGTCAATTTTTATGAATATAACATGTTGTGAGCAGGCCTATACTTTTTCTGTCTGTGACCTTTAATTTAAAAAGTGCCTTTAAATATAATATAATATTCTTTGACTGTAATGATTAATTTTATAGTTAAGATATAATGTGCAGCGCTGGGTTCCTGGGTTCAGTTTCAGAGCTGCTATCTACATGGGGTTTTCGTATTCTGGTTTGACATGCTGCCGTGAAGTTAAATTTGATTGAATTACACTTTTATATGTGTGATGGGAGTCAAGTTTATACAAAGATAATACACTGGTTCCTATGCCTGTATGAATGAGTGGGAAGAAACAAGGCTTTACTGAAAAAGACTTACATTTAATCTCACATTTGTCATGTGAGATACTGTATACTGCAGACATCTAGCTGTTGAGGTAAAAATCTAACATTTTGATCAAAATGTTTTGCTTCTGCATAAGCCACAGATAGCACAACACCGAAGCAGCATCATGCCAACTGTCAAGAATAGTGGTAGCTGCATCATGGTACAGGGCTGCTTCTTGTCACCAGATCTCATCTCAAAAACCTGCTTGAATTTGTCTGTAATCTAAAATTAAGTTTCAAGGTTTACAATAACCGAAGCACAGAAACAAAGTTATACTGCTGCACTTTGACAAGAAGAGAGTGAATGTTCTTGGGTGACACAGTCAAAGTCGTGGCTTGGGTCCTATAGAAAATACACGGTGAGAGTTTTAAGCAGTCTGTTAATCGGTAACAAACGGATCGGAATTGGAGCAATTTTGCCAAGAAGAATGGCTAGAATATTTCACTGTATTAAGCTGGTAGAGACCTATCCTGGATAATTTATAGTGGTGATTAAACTGCCAGAAGCTGTAACATAACATTGCTACTACCTATTACTGATGTAGGAAGCTGAATACATGCAGTAAGTAAATTTCAGTTGTAAAGTATATAATTTTTTGCAAGTTTTGTTGAAATTCAGTCTCCTTCACATATATAGTAGTTCAGTTTGACCATCACTGCTTTGAATAAGAAATGTTTGTTTGACAATGTTATGTGTATTTTAAAATATAACGTTATTAGTGGAAGGTAAATACTGTGGATGCGTAGGGTTGCACATGTGAGGCATTTTCAGTCATGCTTAGAAATATCACGTACATGAATGATCTAGTTGGCAAACAAGTCAGTTTTGCAGAGGATACTAAGATAGGAGGATTAAGGGAAAATGAAATTCAATAAGATTTAGATAAAGTTAAAGATCGTGTAAAAACTGATGTACATTTCCCCAGTGCATCATCCCATATTTAATGTAGGACAGATGCAGGGCATTATATGCTAGTATAAAAAATATGAACTATCCATATAAAATTTGAGGGAATACCCAGACTTCAAGAAACTACTTAAGTGTTTATCTTGACACATAAAGTAAATGTGTCAAGACAATGTTGGGTGGTAATAAAGGCAATGGATTTAGGAATACTGGCATATATACTTGGAGGTGTAAAATTTAAATCAAATTAAATTTAAATCAAAAGATGTTAACATTGTACAACACAATATGATGATTTCACTTAGAATACAGTTTACAATTTTGGTCACCATGTTACAGAAAACATTCCCAGCTATGAAGCAGATCTTAGTATCTGTCCATTCATCCATCAAATAATTTTCTTCCTTGTTAGGATTATGGCAACTGGCACAAAACTCCCATAAGTATGTATACAAGAATGTCCAATTTAGGAAACACCATTAAACCTTGGCAGCACATCTTTGGATGGTGGGAAAGAACTAGAGTACAACTCTACACAGACTGCTATTCAGTCCATAACTAAATCCTGGATCCAGTGCACATAGATCTACAAAGCAACAGTGGATGTAATAGTAAAATTATGTGATACTAGTAAAGTTGCATTCAGAATATTGTGTAAATTTTTGGTCTCCACATTACAAAAAATGTTTTTATTGGAATCAGTCCAGAGTAAACCAACCAGATACATTTCTGGGCTTTAAGGAAGGTCTTAAATATGCTTAGAGAAGTGAATCTTTTGAGACTTGAACAGGGAAGACTACAATGACACATACATACAAGTTTGAATTCTTGAATCATTGATATAGTCAACTCAGTCGACTTCTTCAGAATGAACAGTGAAACAGAATTAAAAAATGGAATATACAATAAGGGTCTTCTTTCAAGACGTAGCAGGATGAGATATTTACAGTAGATGAATTAGTTACTTGAACCCACATGAGTTAGTTGGGGTTTATGACCTTGTTGTGGTAAATTCTTCATCAGAGGAGCAGGACACAGTCTTGTGCAGATTCAGTTTTATTGAGCTCAATAAGTACAGCAACGCGCCCTGGGTCTGCCCCACAGAACAAAAAAACAGCAAGGGTTTCCCAGCTCTTATATACAGTCAGAAAGAAGTTTATTTCACAATCTGAGTGCTTGTCCTGTTCTTTGATATGTATTTACTTCTTGTCCTGCTCTATCTTGTTTTAGGTTCTGTCCTTTGATAAGCAGCAGACATTGATCTGCTTTAACCTGTTTGTGGGTGTTGTACCTGTCTTTTATTGTGTATTCTATTAGGTCTTTTTTTAAGTCACTGGGACTGCTAAAGCAAGTCAGCTTTATGGCATTTTAACTTTTTCAACTTTTGTTGAAAGCTAAATTAACAGAACCCAGCAACACCTCTCACAATGTGCTTAAGTGGTGATATTGTGATGCTGGATAAGTGAGATGTATACATGTCCCACTTCAATCTAATCTCACTTATAGCATGTCTTTTTTTTTTTGAATTGTACAATATGTAAAATATCTGAATATGATTATTGCACAGACACAGGTGTTAGTACTTGAAATTTATCAACTTTATGTTAATGTGTAGAGGGGAGCTGACATCCACTGTATATAAAGTCTCTCTGGCACATGCATTAAATCCCTAAAGATATCAGTGAGTCACCATCCCCAAGCTTTCAAATCTCTGCTTGAAACCTTTGTTAGATGGGCATTTATTTAACTGGTTCTGTGTGCGAGAAACTGTATTACATACCCTCACCTACTATCACCTCTCTATGTGATTTTTTTTGTTTGTTGCTCTTCTGTATAGCCACTATTTGAGAATATTAAAGGTGGTGTTTAAAAATAAAGTTTATTATTATTGCTGTTGTTGTTAATAATACACTACACTATAGCAGTGTAGGAGGTTTTGGCTCATCTTACCTGCTTGGTAGTTAGAAGCTAGGGTGTCTGTTTCAACAACATGACTGAGTAGGTGGTTCTACACTCATACCTGTGCCAGATGCTTGGTTTCATCTCTCCTGTTATATAAGTACATTTTTTCAATGACCTGGTTGATTTAAACCCATGGTTCTCAAACTGTTTGGACCAAGTGCTACCCCTGATTAAACAAAGCATCCAAGTACCACCTACAAGTCATCTTCTCATAGGAACCACAGAAACTCTCGATGACCAACATGAGCGTGCGCACACACACACTCACACACACATATAATAAGCATTATAACAATAAACTTTATTTTATATAGCGCCTTTAATAGGTGGCTTCTCAAAGCACTTTACAGAATGACAACAGGAACAACAACAATTAAAAATAAACAATAAAAAAGCACCATTTCAGTGAGAGCGGTGAGCCTGTTTAGTCGAGCAAAGCAGACGTGAATTCATTGGTCAGGCCTTGATACAATTCACAACTTTGACAACAGAGTCTTAACAGATTAAATTCTCAGGCATTTTCCTGACTGCCAAGGCCTCGCAGTGAATGCTGCAGTTCATCCACTTCATATCTGGAGCAGCCTCTAATTCGTGCAACTACACTGCTGAGTCAGCTTGTCATTGCTCTAGCACTGTCTGTACAAACTCCAATGTATTTTATCCAGTTGATGCAATTATCTTCGATAAATTCATTCAGAAGCTGAAATATGTGCTCTCCTGTAGTTCCTGTTGATAGTGGCTTACAGAACAGAAAGTCCTTATGGGACGTGCCCTCAAACTCGTAAACGAGCAAATTGGCCAAATCAAAGGCATCCACTGACTCATCTAATTTTCCCCGTTTGCTTTTCAGGAGTCCGTCTCAGAAGTTAAAAGAAGTTTTTATTTCATGCAAATGGGAGCGAAACACAGAGACTCTGTGTATTTTTCTTAAATTAATCTAGAACAGTCCTTAAATATTTGTTTGTTATCAGCTGTTCTGTGCTTACTAGATTGGCATTGTTCCAAAATCACGCACATTCTCCTACCTCCTTATTTGCTAGAGATTTTTAAATACAATTTAAATACAGTTTTACAACTTTTTTATATAGAATTGTCCGCTTACGTTCGTAGCACGCATTCATATTTAAGGTTATAGAATATTTGACACATAAACTAATTTGATTAAAATAGAAAATATGAAAACTTGTCCCAATTTTTCAGGGTCATCTGGCGTACCACCTAGGGGTGCTCCGCTCCGTACCATAGTTTGAGAACCACGGATTTAAACCAGTGGGCCCAAAAATGCTTATAAGAGTGTTTAACAAAGTAATTTCTGCCTGTGTCTGTACATTAATTGGTAATTAAGACCTGCTGAAAAAGCTGTAGGAGACATTTTAAACCTAACTGAAACTTTTGTTCCTTATATTTCTCGTGAATGATGCACTTAAATGAGATTATTTATAAGATTATGATGATCTGGGTCTCGTCCTCACAACATAATTATGAATTTATGGATATATTTCTCAGTTGTGCTCTTTTCTTATGATGTGGTCGGGCATGTCCACCGGAAAATCTTTTTTTGTTTTTATTTAAATCATGCATGCGCTCGGACACAGTTTCTTGTGGGTTCACTGCTTAAACCACATCGTGAAGTATGTGTACACACAAAGACCCGGAATATAACTTGGAGTGTGTTTGTCAGGATGTACGTCTTTTTTGTGTGTTATATTCATGTTGTTTTTGTTGTATTTTATCGAAAGTTTTTTTTCTTATAAATCTGTGGGAAATCCATCTCTGCTGTTGACAGAAAACTGTTCACATCAATAACTTGGTTCAGTAAAGAGGTCAGTAGGCTTAATTAAGAGCACAGCTGGAGTAAAAACCAGGGCACAGTGTACTCAAGGATTCAGAAACTGCAGAACAGGGGTCTCAAATTCTATGAGTTTTTGTTCCAACCACATTCTCAGTTACATCATTGGACTATTTAGGTAGTGGCATTATTGTACACATCTGAGACCCCTGTGCTAGAGGATATTCTAGGCAAAGCTCACACATTTAGTAAATAACATAGCGATATCTATTCATTTTCAGAAAGTAGTTTTTATGAGGATCATGACAACCTGGAGCATATCCCACAAGCATAGTGTGCAAGGCTGGGATTACACTCTGGATAGGATGCCAGTCCATCCCAGTGCATACTCAGAAAGGAACACACAAGGAAAACATAGAAATAGCAATTAATCTAGTCAGCATAACCTTAGGAGGAAACTAGAGCATGCATAAAAAAAATCTTTGCAGACTCAGAACATATAAATTCAATACAGAGGGTGCGCAAAAGGAGTCCAGAATTCAACCCAGGACCCAAGAGCTGTGGGGCAGCAGTACAATAATCATGCCAAAAGTTTTATTTTTAACAGTTACTACTGTAAATACAAGTAGATTAATTTAAATAAAATACTATTTTTAAAATGCCACTTAATAAGTGATTGATGTGCCTCCATTTTTGGACAATTTTAATTATTCTATACCAGTGTGGATTTGGACCAACTTTTCCAGTCCTTGTCCTGTAGCACCCATTTCTTTCATTCCAGCTAAAATCTTTTTTAGTTTTACTAAACCTTTTTTTACATAATTTTCTTGACCTGACTTTTTATAGAAATAGCAAAAACTCTTAATCAGTAGGACAGGTTTATAGAAGAAGCATGAACCCTGTATCATATGCTGGGTTTCAAACCTTTAGCTTTATAGTTTTTTTTACTGAGAATGTATGCTTATATTTTATTGTAGTGTATCAGAAACAACCCCTTAAGATTCATATTAGCTTGTGCTTATTAAACAGATGTCTTTGCATATTCATAAAAAGTCTTTGGTGTATTTAAAACATCTTTCCATAATGTTTCTTAGTCTGGAATGACAGCAAATAAATTTAATGGCAAACCAGACAACGTTCAATAGGGATGTTTATTCTTTCTTTGCTTGTAATAGTCTACAGGCATGCAAAACTAAAGATACTAATTATTAACCCTTACTATTGTTATAAAAGATGAAGGTCTTTTACTGGACCAAAACTGCTGTGTTTGAAGCAGACTTTTACAGACTTGTATTGGAACAGGTAGTGTGAAATGGATACATTTGAAAATTTCAAAATGGCAAAGGTAAACTTTTGTAGACAGTTGTATCAAATGTAAATGAAGACAACATATTTGTTTTGTTTGACTGGGGACAACCACAAGACCTTTAAGATATAACACAATATCAATAACTAAAAGTGATAGTCATTCTTTATTTGAAGGATAGGGAATATAAAACGTTTGACAGTAAGTTTGAAATAATACAAATTTTACACAAGTCAGTTATTTGTGGTATGGGTTAAGGGAACCAAGAACCCATCCCCCAAGCACAAGGTACACGGTGGGATGATACTTCTGTCAGAATTCCATTTCACAGCTACTACTGCATAGTATATACATTAATACGAGGCCAGTCTAGAGACAGCAGCTAACCCAAATAGAGTAAAGCTGCTACTTTAAAGTACTCATTGTGTAACTGCTCTGCATGCAAAACATCTGGTTAATTTAACCAGCATTATTAAGATGAGTAGACATAGTATCTATGACTGTAAGCACCGGAAAATCTCAAGCTTGCAAAGTATTTTTAACACTCTTGCTTTCAATTAAAGCCATTGTTATCAAATCACATGTACAGGAATCACATGGAAAACATCTCTGATCCTTCTCTTAGCAGATGATAGAGGGGGGATTTATTAGTCTCGTGATAGACATTAATAGAGTCCGAAACAGTTCTAAGAGAACTTTTTTGATGGTATTTGTATACAAATGTTAATTAAAAGGTTTTCAGCATTCTTTTTAATTTACTGATGTATCCTGTGATTGATTCTTCAGTAATTAACTTCTTGTCATAAAGATATTATCTAGTAAGGAAAAATCTAGTATGGAACTTTATATTGTATATGTACCGTACATGTATAGAACCTACACCTGCTATTTTAACCTACACCTGCTAGATAGAGGGCCAAAAACTACTGTATAATTAGCATATCATTGACAAATTTGTAATTTCTTTAATTCTAAATTGCAGCCTCTGTAACAAGTGTGATGATAATTAAATTGACATTTAAACTTCAATGTTTCTGTATTTTACAGCTTAGCTGTTAATTCTTTTTAAGTGGTAGTTTTATGGGAAATGCAGTAAAATATAGCGCATATACAGTCATTTTTAGTTCCAGTTTTGATGAGATAGGAATGCATTATTTTACATGTCCGTTAGCATGATAACGTCTGGTTCATTACTGTTCTTTACTTTATTCCCATCTATTTAGGATCTGCCAGTAGTCAATCATCTGTGTTTACAGCTGTAACCCCTGTACCAGAGAGCATTAGGACATCCATCTGTGGGAGCTGTTCATTTCAAACACTGCAAATTCCAGAGTTCCCTACAGTTTATGGGTGATCATAAATGACAATGTATGCTTTAGTGTAAGAAGCTGAGCAGGTTTTTGCAATTTGGACCAGATTCAAGTGGCACTTAGTTGTGTGATTCTTGTAGGGATACTTGTCTGCTAAGGACAGGGGTCAGGCCTGGAACAGGGACATGCACTCCAGGGTTTAACCTGAGTTCAGAGTGACTGGATTTACTGGTTGACAATCTGGTACACTTCCACGGGTTCTAATTTTTCAAACACATGACACAAAGTATTATTGAACCGGTTTAGATGAGTAAAATTAGGAGTAACTTCAATAATAAACTTTATTTTATACAGTGCCATTAAAAGCAAGTGCTTAAGGTGCTTTATTGAAAAGTAATAAAAGGTTAAAATAATAAACCCGCAACAAAGATTAAAATTAGCGGAAACAAACGGAAAGTTTTATAAAGTAATAGAAGATGCAAAGAGGTAGACAGACATCAATTAAATAAAAGCATTTTTAAAGAAGAAGGATTTGAGTCTGTTTGAAGGTGTTGAAGGAAGCTGATTCTCTGTTATTTTTGGAGATAGTATTCCAGAACTGTGGGGCATAGCAGGAGAAGGCCTTGTCACCCATAGAATGTAGATGAGCTTAAAGGACAAACAGGAGACCAGAATCAGACGAACAAAGGATGTGAGGGAAGTAGGGAAAAGGTCAGACAGGTACTGAGGTTCATTCAATTCATTATAGGTTCAATTCATTATATGAATTCATGTATTCATATAAGCCATGTTGAGGATTTGAAATTGAGACAAAACCTGATAGGAAGCCAGTGCAAGGACTCCTGGACAGGAGTAATGTTATCACTTGCATGTGACCCAGTCAAGGGTTTGTTCAGAGTGGATTTAGAAACTCCAGCGAGTAGGGCTTTGTAGTTTTCAATTTTAGAGGAGACAAATGTGTACCAGCCTTTCAACAACAATCGGGAGACAACACACGTTTCTGAATTGGAAGAATTAGTTTTTTTCTAAAGTCCTCAAGAATTTCAGGGTGTTTTCTCATACCTGAACACTTTTTTCATTTTCACAGTCACACTTTTCATTCACAGTTCTGGGCGCCCTGGACTGTTTTCACTGGATGTTTTTTAACAAGAAAATTTCCAAAGAGATGAGATCAGCAGTATTGGAAATTCCTCTTTTGTGGATAGCAGCTGTCATCCTAGCAAATCTCCTCCCCTTCAATATAAAGAGTGCTCTCTGATGGAGATTTAAACACAAAGTTAGACTATATATCATATGTACTGATTCAAAGGAGTGCTGTGTTCTTTCTGAAATCTTCTGTGCACCAGCCAAGTCACACCAACCTTCTGGCAATCTGAGTGTCATAAACATACAAACTTGGAATCAGCGGGTTGCGCAGACATTGATAAGCTTTGCTGCATGAACCACAGCATTCATTGGTTTTGTCCTTTTTCTTACCCAGATGCAAGTAGTAGCACAGACGAACAGTGACCCAGAGCAAAGGTTTACGGAAGGAAACAGCAGTGGCGGAGGCAGTAGTCCAGCCCCTGCAGAATCACAGAAACCAATGGATGCAGATAAAGAGTCGATATACAGGTATTGTTCCTAACCCTTTGTCTAAAGGGTACTGTATGTTTCCAGCATGAAACAGTGTGATCTGGATCACTTATGTAAAATATGTTAAACACCTTTCCCTAGTGTTGGTGTTAATAGGAGGGCACAAAAAGTGGAATATATTTGTGATTTGAAGGTGCTAATGTTGTTCCTCTCTGCAGGCATCCGCTCTTCCCATTATTGGCATTGCTCTTTGAGAAATGCGAGCAGTCAACCCAGGGTTCAGAGTGCATCACCTCTGCAAGCTTTGATGTTGACATTGAGAATTTCGTAAGGAGCCAAGAAAAGGAAGGGAAAGCTTTTTTCAGTGAAGATCCAGAGCTGGATAACCTGGTTTGTTGTTTTTTTTCTTTAAATCAGTACCCTAACATGTTAATAAAAACTAATGGAAAGTGCAAAGAAATGTCTTATCCAGGAGTCAATCTTAGTACTTTAAGTTTAAGTGAAACATGGATTAAGGTTTGGGCTTCTTTCTTATATACTTCATTCAAAATCATTAAAACTAAGTTGTAAAGCTAGAAACAGCCCATATTAAAATGCTTGAAATTTCTGATCATAGGTATTTCTAAAAATTTTGTACTTACAACACTGAACTTTTGAGGTTTGCTGAGCTGCTTACCAAGCTTACTCTTCGTAGCCTTGAGAAGTCTGTCTTTTCAGTCCTTTTTTAACCCCTTCAGTGCTAGAGTAGGCCCGTTTTTCTTGCTTCTCAAGTTGCCAACATCTAATGGTTTGGAAGATGTATGACAGGCATAATCCACTCAAAATGTAGGACTCTTTCCTACTGAAACAATGCATAATCTTAAGACTGACATCTAAACTAACCTACAGTCTTTTCTTCTGCATTAAGTTAAATTCAGGAGATGTTAACAAAACTATTATTTATAATTTGGGATTATGTTTTAGATTCAGCACTATTCTTTACAGTGTACAATGTAGTATTGTTTTCATAACAAAATTCTACAGATGTAGGAGGTTTTATTTAGTAATGCCACATAAGAGATGAAAATAATCAGTTGTTGTGCTGCATCTGTGTTTTTAATTTTTTTTCTTAATGGGTATTCAGTTACCTGGCCTCATAAGAGACATATGCTCCAAACACTGAATCATTGATGCCAAAACTAGCTTATTAGACTCTCTTGTTTTGTCTGTAGTTCAGTTACTGTTTCGTCTGGAACTTCTAATCTTTCATGTCTTGTGGCCATGTTGTGTGTGAGTTGAGCAGGTCCAGGTTTCTGTGGATTGGAAATAAACATTTCCATAAAATATTAACGGGTTATCAACAGGTCTTTATACAGTAAAAATAATATTTCAGAACATTTTTTCTACACCTTTTTATGGTTCTATTTTTTTATTCTGAACTTTGTGAAGGGGGCCTGTGTATGGAGTTTGCATGCTTTCCTCGTATACAGTATGTATAGGGTTTATCTGGGTGCTTCAGTTCCCCCTGCCTTCCAAAGACATGTTAGCTAAGATATTGGTGCCACTTATTGTTACAGTGTGCTTATGTGCATGTCTCCCGCTAAAGGCTCTGGGTCGCTGCTACTATCACCAAGAATAAGCAGCTTTCTGATAATGGATGGATGGGTAATGATGATTTGTTTCTTAATTTATTTGCAAGAGCACTTCTTTTTGAGAAAAAAAAACAAATTAGTTCAGCAGTGTTTGTATTTTACACTTTTTTGGATTTTTCGTTGTAACTGTTATTAAAGTAATCTGAATATATTACATATAGCTGTTGGGTTTTTATACAGTTATTTGCTGGTCTTTTAAAAATAATTTATTGATCAATATCGTTTTGGAATGTAAAAATTGATCTGGTTCTTTTCAAACACTAGATTTTTTTATGTTTAACACCTTTAAAGCAAAATCATTGATTATTAAAGGTTTTTAGAAATAATTTACTTTGCTGTATTTGTGTAGCGGTTATTTTTTTTATTCAGTGCATAAAATATATGATATAGGTACACTTCAGAACTGTTAAACTTCTGTGAATAATTTCTATAACATTACACTTTACACATTTATGTGTATATTATTTGTGAAATAATATACTTTCATTTTCCCCAAATAGTTCTTGTGAATTTCAGAATTGCTGTATCAGTCGGTTGAATTTACAACTGTACATTTAATTATTTCCCCCAATTTTTATACGTTTGTCTGTTTTTTCATTGCTTAATGCTGTAGCGGCGAGGCTTATTAATAAGAAAGAATTAAGTGTTCTGATCCTTCCCAAATGAGGCCCCATTTCTCTGTTCATCTCTGTGGTGCAGCCACAGAGAAACTATTCATGCAGGCTGATTTAAGGTTCCTTTGATAAGGACAGCTCCCAAAGGGGGATGCACTTGGCTAAGCCTGGCTATCATGATCAATGGTCATCCATTGGCGCCTATCTGTCTAGGGAGTGCCAGATGGACATCTGGACTGCATT